CGGCCTCGGCCGTACTTCGTTCCGCTCCTTCAGCAGGTTCTTGGTCTCCCGTCTTCTACTGGTCCTCCTCCTCCCTTAGAGTGTCCACAGCCTGTCCCGTCGCAGTTACAGTTACAGCCGGCCTCCCCACTGCCTGCTCCGTCTCCCTACACTGGTCCTACTGGAGGTCTTGCTGAGCGTCGTGAGCCTGCGTCTCGCCCTGCGTCGCCTGTCCGTGCTGCTCGCACTAGTGGTCGCGGTTCGCGTCAGCGTCCTCCTCCTGTCCCTGGCACGCACCGGATGTCTCTGCGTCCGTCCACTGCTCCTCTGCGTGCCCCTTTGCCTTCTCCTCCTGATTCTTCTCTTCCTGCTCTTGCCGACCCGGAGTCGGACTCTCTTCGTGCTGCCAGTCCTACTGTCACGCGTCTCCTTGCTACTGTTGTCACTGACCCTTCCTTTGAGTCCACTGCTGCGTCTGCCCTAGTTGCTGAGCTCGTCGACTTTGCTGCTCGCTGTCGCCTAGACTACGTCGCCAGTCTTCTTGCTGAGTCTGAGTCTGTCTGTCCTCCGTCCGTCGGGGGTGAGTGTGCCCTTGGCACGGACGTCCTTGAGGACAGGCAGGAGGAGTTCCAGTACTTGGCCGCTGCTTCACCTCATCTCGTGTCCGTACTGCTTACCCCTGAGGGAGACCCGGATGCACTTGACATCCCGACTCCGCGCTCTTACGCGGAGGCGATAGAGGGTCCCTACTCCTCTCAGTGGCAGGCAGCTATGGACGCAGAGATGGCTTCCTGGAAGTCCACAGGCACCTACGTTGACGCTGTTCCCCCTCCTGGGGCGAACATCGTCAGTGGCATGTGGATTTTCAGGGTGAAGCGGCCGCCGGGTTCTCCGCCTGTCTTCAAGGCGCGTTACGTGGCTCGAGGCTTCAGTCAGCGGCAGGGAGTTGACTACTTTCAGACCTTCTCTCCCACCCCGAAGATGACCACTCTTCGGGTACTGCTGCACATAGCTGCTCACCGTGACTACGAGCTACACTCTCTTGACTTCAGCACTGCTTTCTTGCAGGGCAGCCTGCACGAGGAGATCTGGCTGCGTCGCCCACCTGGTTTCACTGGGTCTTTTCCTCCTGGCACCCAGTGGAGCCTACGGCGGCCAGTCTACGGTCTCCGCCAGGCACCGCGTGAGTGGCACGACACACTGAGGACTACACTTGCGGCTCTTGGGTTTGCTCCCTCTACTGCCGACCCGTCGCTGTTTCTGCGCACCGACACTTCTTTGCCGCCGTTCTACATCCTCGTGTACGTCGACGACTTGGTCTTTGCCACAGCTGACACTGCTGGACTCGCCCACGTGAAGTCCGAGCTGCAGAAGAGACACACGTGCACTGACCTGGGTGAACTGCGCAGCTACCTTGGCTTGCAGATCACTCGGGACAGAGCACGCCGCACCATTACCCTGACTCAGTCACACATGGTGCAGCAGGTCCTTCAGCGCTTCGGCTTCACGTACTCCTCGCCTCAGGCCACTCCTCTGCCTACTCGCCACTCGCTCTCAGCTCTGCCTTCGGATGAGTCCGTAGAGTCGAGTGGCCCGTACCCAGAGCTTGTTGGCTGCCTCATGTACCTGATGACCTGCACACGACCTGACCTTGCATACCCTCTTAGCATTCTCGCACGCTATGTTGCTCCTGGGAGACACAGACCGGAGCACATGGCTGCAGCGAAGAGGGTGTTGCGCTACTTGTGCAGCACGTCGGGCATGGGGCTTGTGCTTGGAGGGCAGAGTCCAGTGGTCCTTACTGGGCACGCAGACGCTTCTTGGGCTGACGACCAGGCTACGCAGCGGTCGTCACAGGGTTACACCTTCAGCCTTGGTTCAGGCTCTGTTTCGTGGCGGGCTACTCGCTCGTCTTCTGTTCTCGGCTCCAGTTGTGAGGCTGAGATCTACGCAGGAGCCATGGCTGCACAGGAGCTTCGCTGGCTCACCTACCTGCTGACTGACCTCGGAGAGCCGCCTCGTTCTCCTCCAGTGCTGTACGTAGACAACAAGGCCATGCTGGCCTTGTGTCGGGAGCAGCGACTGGAGCACAGAACGAAGCACATTGCTCTCCGCTACTTTCTTGCTCGTGAGCTGCAGCAGCGTGGCCAGCTGCGTCTTGCGTACGTGGCCTCTGAGGCCAACACTGCTGATATCTTCACCAAGGCGCTTGCGCCTTGTGACCATCAGCGCTTCTGTACTCAGCTGGGCCTTGTGCCTACCTTGCCTCACTTGCTCACCTCTTGACCGTGCTTGTACTGTTATATATATATATGCCTGCTCTTGCTTGTCTAGCCTTTTAATATATATGTGTACTCCTGCATGTGAACTGGCCTTGTGGCCTTGAACTTGTGCTCGGAATGTGTGGTGACTTTGTGATCCACCCTGAGCTTGCTTTGCTTTGCTTTACTTGACTGGTCTTGTGACCCCTTGTTCTCCCCCACTTTGCCTATGGGGGTGTGTCAGAACATTATAGCTCATGCATATTGTGTAGGCTATAGTGGGGTAGCCCATAAGGGGTACAACCCAATTAGGGTTATTACTTGTACTCAATTCATTCATAGTTGATCCATTCCTCGTTTATTCTCACACTCCAGACAAGATCTTCGTCCCTAGGCTGTTAGAAGGACGTCACGATCTGTCAACGTGGACAGAATCGATCGAGCCGCAGCTCGAGATCGCTCAGCTAAAGCGATTCATAGATGGCACCACCCCCATTCCACCAGCACGTGCACTTGCGCATCTCTCCCAGTTCCGCGCGATGCAGTTGCTGACGTTCACCACCATTTCCCGATGCTGCTCCCCAACCGTACAGATCGCCCTTAAGGCGTGTCGCATGAAGGTAGATGCCGGCTATCAGGCATGGCAGTTTATTATGCGCACGTACATGGCAAAGGACGATCTGTACATCGGTCAGTTAGAGCAGGCGCTCACTAACCTCGAGATGGGAGAGAACGAGTCCGCTACGTCCTATTGCAACCGTGCGCAGCAGATCCTAGTGAACCTGAGGATGGCCGGCGTAGACTACTCGCAGGCGTCGTACATCACTCACGTTGTGAAGGGGTTGCCACAGCAGTACAACCTCTTACGCAGGATGCTGAAGTTGCCACAGGTGCGCAAGGAGTTGGATGAGGACACCCTCGCTAGCTACATTATCGAGGAGGAGTGTACGCTGGCGGCGGAGGGACGAAAGGACCAATTCCTTCCCCAGGCTAACCAGGTCTTTACCAAGAAGGGTAAGCCCCAATTCCAGCAGACTTCATTCCCTTCCCCTCCCACTACGGCACAGCAGCAGCAGCCTAAGAATGGGGGTGGGGTTGGTGGGGGAGGGGAGAAGTGGAAAGGGGGTAAAGATGGCCAACCGAAGGGGGGGAAAGGGGGCTTCAGGGGGAAGTGCTATGTATGTGGACAGACAGGGCATGTTGCTAAGTACTGTCAGCAGCCGGCGGATAAGGAGGCAGACAATGGTGGAGAGGGTTCTGGAGGTAGCAACGGAAAGGGGGGTGATGGCTCTAAGGGGAGCGGGCAGTCATCATGTGCGATGGTGAAGCCCGTTGTGGAGCAGACTCCTCTCGTTGTGCTGGAGCCTGAGGCCGGGGAAGGCTTACAGGCTGTTGCAGCTGCTGTAAAGGCGAACCCGAGTGTCGTGCTACTTGATAGCGGATGCTCCCACCATCTCATGGGAGATCGTTCTGCCTTTGTGGAGATGAGCAGCGGCGGCAGTATTAAACAGGTTACCGACTTCAACGGCGCCCTTCAGGAGGTGCAGGGGCGAGGCACAGTCGCTCTTCTTGGAGAGGGGGGCAGGCGTGTCTTGGTGCCGGACGTGCTGTACGTACCAGGAGTACAGGCGAGTCTTCTCTCTGCTGGGCAGCTGCGTGATAGTGGTGTGCAGCTGCTGGATGCCGGGGATGTGACTTTGCTGCGGGCACCAGATGGATCGCTCCTTGGTCGTGCGGAGTTCAAGGGGCGTGTTCTTTGCACGAACTTCCAGCCGTGTTCGACGCAGCAGCAGGAAGGCGAAACGGTGGCACTTCGTACCTTGGTGACGGGCGTGCGGTCTAAGGGGGACCTGTGACATGCGTGTATGGCACACGTTGATATTGATGCCATCGAGCGCACAGCGGCTCACGGGTCAGTGAAGGGCTTGGATTTGGAGAAGGGGGGCAAGTCAGGCATACCCTGTGTCTCCTGTGTTGGGGGAAAGATCACTCGTCATACCTTTCCTTCTGTGGGAGAGGAGGAGGATGAGTTGCTCGGGGTGGTGCATGCTGACCTGTGTGGCCCTTTTCGTGAAGCAGCTAAGGACGGCAGCCACTACTTCTTGGTGCTGAAGGATCGCAAGACACGATATGTCTGGGCCTACCCTTTGGCCCAGAAGAGTGATGCGCTGGCGGCGTTCCAGAAGTGGCTCCCGATGGCAGAGCGACAGTGCAAGACCACGGTGCAGGCGCTGCGCACTGATCGGGGTGGCGAGTTCCTGGGGCACGATTTCACGCTCTTCCTCGACGGCAAAGGCATCATCCATGACCTCACATGCCCGTACACGCCGGAGCAGAACGGGATGGCCGAGAGGGAGATGCGCAGCATTGTGGAGGCGGTGCGGACGATGTTGCTGCACATGGGTGTGCAGCATTACTGGTGGCACCTGGCGTTGGCGCAGGCCGTCTGGGTGCGCAACCGCGTGGAGCACGCCTCACTACCCTCTGGTGTGACGCCGTACGAGCTCGCCTTCCGACACAAACCTAATGTCAGTATGGTGCGTGTTTGGGGCTGCATGCTGCAGTACATGATACCACAGTCGCAACGTGGGGGGAAGCTGGCGCCTAAGGCTCGCTGGGGGTTGCACTTGGGTGTGTCAGCTGCGAGCAAGGGCTGGACCGTGCTGGACTTGGAGTCCAACCGCCTCATCACCACTGTGGAAGCTGTGTTTTATGAGACCATGTCCCTGGCAGGATGGAAGGCCTGGCATCAGCAGGAGCATGGGGGGCGTTCAATGCCCTATGAGCCCCTTCCCTCACCCTTTTCCGATCACTCTCGAGGAGGCGGAGGAGGAGGAGAAGGTGGTCGCACCTCCTGCTATGCCCTATGTCCCTACCTTGGTCCCCACCCCACCTCCGCCTTCAGTCTACCCTCGTGTGATTCCCCCTGCCCCGCCTTCTTTCTCCTCACCCCCCTTGGCTTCCCCTCCTCCTCCTGTTATTCCATCTCCCCTTCCACCCTCCATCCCTCCTGCACCTGCTCCGCCCTCCTCTTCGTCTTCCACGGCGCCGCCCGTTGGTGAGGGGGGGATAGAGGTGCCACCGTCTGTGGAGATCACCGACGGGCAGCGCCTTGAGACTGAGCAGTTGCAGGACGAGAGCAGTATGGATGGAGTACAGCAGAGTGGGGGGCAGGAGATAGGGGAGCAGCAGTCAGGGGAGCAGCAGAGTGGGAAGCAGCAGATAGGGGAGGAGCGGATTGAGGAGAAGCAAATGGTGGACTAGCAGCTAGGGGAGCAGCAGACAGGGGAGCCGCAAATAGGGGAGCAAGAGATGTGGGGAATTAGAGATGGTGGTCATGTGTTGGCTTCTGGGACGATCACTGCGCCACTGCGTCGCTCCACTCGCATCACTCGTGGTATCCCGCCTCTTAAGTATGCTTGGGCTTTAGTGGTTGAGCCAGCGGGATTGGATGACGAGGAGGAGGACGAGGAATGGACAGACATGGACCCTGACGTGGTGGCTGACCCTGAGAGGCCTTGGGCTGCTGGAAGGGCGACAAGGTGAAGGAGGCGATGGATGAGGAGATGCGGAGCTTGATTGAGCAGGGGACGTGGGAGTTGGTTCCGCGTCCGCCAGGGGTGAATGTGATGAAGAACCGCTGGATTTTGAACACCAAGTTCCGACCGGATGGGATAGTGGAGCGTGAGAAGGCGAGGCTGGTGGTGAAGGGGTTCACGCAGGTGGCAGGGGTGGACTATGAGGAGACGTACGCTCCTGTGGGAAGCTATGTGACGGCACGTGTGCTTCTGGCAATTGCAGCTGCACTTGATTTGGACCTGATGCAGCTAGATGTGAAGAACGCGTTCCTCCATGGCGTGCTGGACCGAGACCTTTACATGGAGCAGCCGAGCTACTACGAGGATGGGACTCCTCGTGTCTGTAAGTTGGTGAAGAGTCTGTATGGGCTCAAGCAGAGCCCGATGCTATGGTATGAGGCCTTGGATGGGGTGCTGCTTGGGGCTGGATGGAAGAAGAGCAAGGTGGATGAGGCTCTGTACTTCACGAGTGATGCTGAGGGGGAGATGGGCTGGCTGCTGGTGTATGTGGATGACCTGCTTGCTGCCAGCCGCAGTCAGAGCATGCTAGGGGAGCTGCGTGACCTGCTGCAGAGTGCCTTTCAGCTGCGGGAGATTAGCCCCGTGGAGAAATATCTGGGGTTGCAGCTGATTCGGGACAGGCCTACGAGGAGGCTGTGGCTGCACCAGGGGGCCTATGTGGACAAGGTCCATAGGCGCTTCTTTGACGGGGAGCAGCCGCTGCGAGTGCCTCGCACCCCTCTTTCCTCAGACCCTTTCAGTGTGCAGACCTTCGAGGATGTGGGATGGCAGTCTTGCCAGGAGGAGGAGTACAGGCAGAAGGTGGGATCCTTGCAGTTCGCGGCCTGTACCACCCGTCCCGACATCTTGTTCGCCTGCAGCAAGCTGGGGTCGGGCCAGACTGTGCGGAGTGATCAGCACTGGAAGGAGTTGGACCGGTGCTTGGCGTACTTGGTGGGGAGCAGGGATGTGGCGCTGGAGTTTGGTGGGGGGCCGGAGTCCTTGGAGCTGGTGGGCTACGCCAATGCTGATGATGCGGGAGACAAGCAGAACAGGACCAGCACTGGTGGCTACATCTTCGTGCTCGGGGGTGCTGCTGTCTCTTGGGCGAGCCAGAGGATTTGTTGCGCCACCCTCTCCTCCACTGAGTCTGAGTATGTTGCTGCTGTGGAGGCTGGGAAGGAGGCGCGCACGCTGCGCTTCCTGTTGGCAGAGTTTCAACTGCTGAGGAGTGAGGAGCCCACTACTCTCTTTGTGGACAACTCCTCCGCCATTTCAGTGGCAGGTGGCATGGGACTCAAGGGGAGCCTCAAGCACATGGAGCGTCGCCACATGTGGCTGCAGCACATGGTCAAGCGCAGGAAGCTACAGCTGCAGTACATCCCTACGAGTGAGCAGCCTGCTGACTACCTCACGAAGGCATTGCATTTCCCCGCCTTCAGTCGTTGCTTTGAGGCTGTGGGGCAGGTGAGGCTCTCAAGCGAGGGGAGTGAGACCTAGATGCTCCATGATGGGTATGGTGCCATGGCCTATCCATGGCTGGTGCGGTGCGTGTTTGCATTTTGAGAGTGCTTCGTTTGTGTGTTCCCTTTTCTTTTGGTGTGTATGCGTGTATGCATGCCCTGTGATTATAAAGGGCCTTGCTGTAGTATGGCAGGGGATTGTTAGAGGGCCCTACGACAGCAAGGGCCCTCGACGACTTGGCAAGATAACTGCGCTAAGACGGGCATTGAAAGACACCAACGCAAGGAGTGCGCTGATGTCGCACCACTACTGCAGTGCCAACGAAGTCCGTGCTGGGGTGCTGCTAGTCTAGGGAAGTTGTGAGCACGATTCTTGGGAAGCGTGCCACTTCCTAGCAAGTCAGTGGGCGTCATATGTGGTGTTGCCGAGTTGGAGTTGGTGTTGGTTGGGGTGGCGTGTGAAAGGCAATTCCGCCGCTGAGTTGGGTTGAAATTGTACGAGGCGCGTTCAACCCACCTGCACACCACTTTCGTGGGGTTGGGTTACTACGCAGCACCACACCAACTTTGTGAAACCTTCCCGTAGCCTATATCTAGTTGTGTGTTTGCTTTTGTATTGATACTTGATATTGTAATTCTATTGGCCCAAATGCTACTTCAATCCTCACTAAGTCCTTAGAGGCAAACGCTACCGAAACTCTACCAAGTTGCTGGCACAACATCATTCCCATCGCAGAAACTCTCTCGTTATCGCTACGCTCTCTAATATATTCCTTCAAACATAACGCCGAAGGTTCCGGTTCCGGACCCGCAAGCCCATGAAGGGACATTGCGAGGCTAATGCCCAATTCCGGCGCTCCGGGAGCGGCAAAACGATCGTCTTTAGTTCCAGCAGCGGCGGCGACAGCTCTCACCCGTACTAGCGCGAACTCGCCGATCCATTGTGACTCCGGTCCTGCTGACGTGTCTTTCCACGCTAGTAATCATCGCCTTAGCGGTAGCCGGATGGGTGGCGCCTCTGGGAACCCTCAGCGCACTCGCTTGGGGAAGGGCGGGGGAAAAAGGGGAACCATTGGTAGGGGAGGAAAATGGGGATCGGAAGGACAGGACGGGGAAGGGGAAGGGAGAAGGGAAGGCAGATTGGGAAGGTGAGAGGGAGCCTATGGAGAGGGAATGCGCAATGACGTACATGTGGCCTGATTACATTCCGATTCCAATCAACAACTGGACCCTGGAGGAACAAGGACTGGATTCAAGAAAGTTCGGCTTTAAGAAGTCTCAAAAGAGGGTTCAATGACGTACATGCGGCCTGATTACATTCCCATTCCACTGCAGAACCGGACTTTGGAGGAACCGGGACTCAATCCAAGTGAGTACGGCTTGAGACTTTGCATTCTTTCAAATGAATACATCTGCATGGGGGTGAGGGAGCCTACGGAGAGAGGAGATTGTGACTATACAATGACTTGCCATGATTGTATTCGCGTTCCATTACAAAATTCGATTCTGGATTTACAAGGACTAGATTTAAAACCAGGATCTCATGTAGATCATTTGTTTTGCAGTTGATGGGAAACACCCGTTTCCCATTGGTTCACGAGCCCCAAAAAACAAAAAGGGGTGCAGCGAGGGATGCGAAGGGAACTAAATGGTTTGCTGTGTTCCAAACCTTCTAGGTATGGAAACAGGTTCGGAGCCGAAGCTATAGTGCCAGTGAAATGTCAAGAATTGTCGAGAGTCTCATGTACCTGAAATTTGTTTTGCAATTGGTGCTGAGGCAAAATAGGGGGAGTGTCGCATGCTAACTTCCCTAACCAACCAGTCCAACTCGCCTACAAACACAAGGTAATGCAAGTCTCAAATGTTTTGCAATTGATGGCAAAATCTCTTACTTGAGACCCTGGTTTTAAGTGACATCACAGGCGGCGATTCATTATTCTAGTGGCTGCATTTACACTAGAAAGCTTCTTGTTGAAGCCATACGAGCCAACGTTGGGAGACTGAGCTGCCGAATTTACACCCCTTACTTTCTTTTGAACCCCCCCCAACCGCTCCCAACCCAGCACTTCCCAACCCCTCTGTACAGTTTGTTCTTACACCAAGAGGCCACACCTGGGGAGACAGCAGCAAGGACGAGATAAAAAGAGGTTTCTGCCATACCGCTCCTGTGCTCCCTCATCTGCCTGCACTGAGCATCCTTTACTATGTCCCCCCTTTACACTCCCCAGCTTCAATGTACAATTTATTCTTGCACCGAGAAGGCCACGCATGGGGAGGCAGCAGCAGTTTAGAGGAGGCAAAGAGGAGACTCTGCGGGAGAGTGCCTGTGCTCTTTATTCCGGGGAACGCGGGCTGCTACAAGCAGGTGATGTGTTGTGGTGCTGGTTGTAACAGGCAGGTGTGTTGCGTCGATAACACACCAATCTAGGCTTTTCTGAACTGAACAGTTGGAAGGAGGTGAAGTGTGTCCTCTGTGAGAGAGTGCTTGTGCTCTTTATCTCGGGAATGCGGGCTGCTTCAAGCAGGTGATGTGGCGGCGGGTGGGTGTCACAATCTCCTTGCTTCCCTGCTTTTATCATTCCTAATCCCTCTCCGTCCTTATCACTGAAGTGTGTTCGCTCACGTCTGTCTCCCTCCCACTGACCAAGTATATATCATGCCTCCTGTTTGCAAGCCAGTTCAACGGACTACCTCTCTTGGGAGAGCCTCTTCGCTTCCCCACTTTTACCACTCCTATCCGCTCTTCATTTTCTTTTCCATGCATGCACATTCCCTGGCTTCCGTCTCCCACCACATCTACCACGCCTCTCATGCTCAACACAACTTAAGGCCCAGCCCTCCCTGCTTCATCTTTTTCGCTTTGCCTGTCCCCTCTTCTCCCCATCATTCATTCAGGTGCATTCCCTGGCGTCTGTCTCCCACCACATCTACCACGCATACCATGCTCAGCGCAACCCAAGGGACAGCAATCCCTGCTTCGCCTGCAAGGAAGAACTTGGCACAGAGGCTCTCACAGCAGCAGAAGAATCAAATGAAACGGGAGAGGCAGGGAAAACAAGAGGAGACAGAGAAGGAGAACCAGCAGCAGGAAGAGCAGTTGGATCAAGGAAGGGAAGGCGGGGGTCTGAACCATATCCAGCTCCTCTGGCGTGGTTTTCAGTGGATCTGAGGGAGCACCTGACTGCTCTTGACAACTCTCTGTTGCTCAAACAGGCGGCCTTTG